TTCTTCTAGGAGCTTTATAATTTTAGGTTTTACCATTAGGTCTATTAACCTTTTTGAGTTAATTTTTGCATGTGGTATGAGATATAGATCAAATTAATTTTTTTGTAAATGAATATTCAACTTTTCCTGCATCATTTTGAAAAGATTACCCCTTTTCCACTGAATTGCCTTTACAAAACTTTACAAAAATCAGCTATCCATATATGTGTGGGTCTATTTCTGAATTACATATCCAATTCTATTCATCTACAGTTGGCCCTCTATATCCATGGGTTCTGCATCTGCAGATTCAACCAACGGCTGATCAAAATATTCTGGAAAAAAATAATAAAAAATAATTTGTATACATTGATTTTGTATCCCGAGACTATATTGAATTTATTTATCAGATCTAGGAGCTTTTTGGATGAGTCTTTAGGATTTTCTAGGTATAGAATCATATCATTAGTGAACAACAATAGTTTGACTTCCAATAAATATAGTACATTTATTGATTTGCATATATTAAACCATCCCTGTATCCCTGGTATGAAACCCACTTGATCATAACATATTATCTTTTTGATATGCTGTTGCATTCAGTTAGCTAGTATTTTACTGAGGATTTTTGCTGCTATACATCAATAATGACCAAGCTGAGAATCAAATTAAGAACTCAATCCCTTTTATAACAACTTCAATAAAAATACTTAGGAATGTACTTAATGAAAAAGGTGGAATATATTTACAAGGAGAACTACAAAACACTGCTGAGAGAAATCATAGATGACACAAATGGAAACACACCCCATGCTCATGGATGGGAAGAATCAATATTGTGAAAATGACCATACTGCCCAAAGCAATCTACAAATTAAATGCATTTACCATCAAAATACCATCATCATTCTTCACAGAAGTACAAAAAACAATCTTAAATTTCATATGGAACCAATAAAAAGCACCCACATAGCAAAAGTCATACTAAGCAAAAAGAACAAATCTGGAGGCATCGCAGTTACTGACTTCAAGTTATGCTACAAGGCTATAGTTACCAAAACAGCATGGTACTGGTATAAAAATAGGCATTTAGACCAATGGAACAGAATGGAGAACCCAGAAATAAAGCCAAACACAACCAACATATCTTTAAAAAAGCATACAAAAACATAATTTGGGGAAAGGACATCCTATTCAATAAATGGTACTGGGAAAACTGTCAAGACACATGTAGAAGAATGAAACTGGATCCCCATCTTTCGCCCTATAAAAAAAATTCAACAAGGTGGAGCAAAGGCTTAAACCTTAGACCTGAAACGATAAAAATTCTAGAAGATAACATAAAAACTCTTCTGGATATTGGCTTAGGCAGATAATTCATGACCAAGACCCCAAAAGCAAATGCAACAAAAATAAAAATAAATAAATGGGACCTAATTAAACTAAAATCTGCTGTACAGCAAAAGAAATAATCAGCAGAGTAGACAGACAGTATTAACAAACTATGCATTCAACAAAGGACTAATATCCAGAATCTACAAGGAACTAAAAAAAAAATCAGCAAGAAAAAAAAAATCCCATCAAAAAGTGGGCGAATGACATGAATAGACATTTCTCAAAAGAAGATACACAAACAGCCAGCAAACATGAAAATATGCTTAACATCACTAATTCTAGAAGATAACATAATTATCAGGGAACTGCAAATTAAAACCACAGTGAGATACCGCCTTACTCCTGCAAGAATGGCCATAATTTAAAAGTCTAAAAAAAATGGATGTTGGCATGGATGTGGGGAAAAGGGAGCATTTTTACACGGCTGGTGGGAATGTAAATTAGTACAACCAGTGTGGAAAACAGTACGGAGATTCCTTAAAGAACGAAAAGTAGAACTACCATTCAATCCAGCAATCCCACTACTGGGAAATAAGGAAAGAAAAATAAGTCACTCTGTGAAAAAGACACATGCACATGCATGTTTATAGCAGCACAATTCACAATTGCAAAGATATGGAACCAACCTAAGTGCCCATCAACCAACGAGTGGATAAAGACAATGTGGTATATATACAACATGTACTACTACTCAGCCATAAGAAGGAATTAAATAATGTCTTTTTCAGCGACTTGGATAGAGCTGGAGGCCATTTTTCTAGGTGAAGTTAACTCAGGAATGGAAAAGCGAATATTGTATGTTGTCACTTAGAAGTCGAGTTAAACTATGAGGATGCAAAGGCATAAGATTGATACAATGGACTTTGGTGATCCAGGGGGGAAGGATGGGAGGGGAGTGAGGGATAAAAGACTACATATTGGGTACAGTGTACACTGTTTGGGTGACAGGTGCACTAAAATCTCAGAAATCACCACTAAAGAACTTATCCATGTAACAAAAAACCACCTGTACCTCAGAAACTATTGAAATAAAAGTAAAAATAAGAAAAAGAGTACAATTAAAAATATGAGGTAACAACTATTTACATAGAATTTGTATTGTATTAGGTATTATAAGTAATCTAGATATGATTTAAAGCATATGGGAGGATATACATAGGTTATACGCAAATATTATACCATTTTATATAAGGGAGTTGAGCGTCCTCAGATTTTGGTATTTGCAAGGATCCTGGAACCAATCCCTTGTAAATACTAAGGGATGACTATATTTGTCTATTTTGATAACAATATCACATTGTCTTAATTGCAGTAGCTTTATTATAAATCTTGAAATCAAATATTATCAGTCCTCCAACTTATTTTTTCTATTTCAAAGTTGTTTTTGCTAATATATATATATATTTTTTTTGCATTTCCCTACGAATTTTAGAAGCAATTAGTTGTTTTTTATATGTTAAAACACTCAGTGGGACTTTGAATCTATATATCAATTTTTGGGAGGATTGATATACTAACAACATTAAATCTTCCAGTCCATGAATATATCTCTGCATTACTCAGATATTTTGTAATATATGTCAGGAATGTTCTGTAGTTTTCAGGGTACAAGTCTCATCTCTTTTGTCATATTTAACCCTAACATTTTTTACGTTTTTATGGTGTTTAAAATTCTAGCTCAAATTTCTCTTGTTCGTTACTAGGAATACAATTGATTTTTGTATATTCGCCTATGTCCTGCAACCTTGCTAAACTCGCTTCTTAGTTCTAGTACTTTTTGTTGATCTTAGAAAATCTGTTTTCTATATGCACGATCCTAGTGTGTATGAATAACAAAAGTCTGCCTTTGCCCTGTCCAATCTAGATGCCTTTTATTACTTTTTCCTTTCCTTATTTTCTTTGCCCTCATTGCACTGTCTAGAATCTCCAGTACGATACTGCACTAAAGTGATGAGAGTGGGCATATGTACTTGTTTTGTTCGTCTTTTTTAACTTTCAAGTTCAGGGGTACAAGTGCAGGTTGTTAACATAGTTAAACTTGTGTCATAGGAGTTTGTTGTACAGATTATTTCATCACCCAGGTATTAAGCTTATTAGCCGTTAGTTATTTTTCCTGATCCTCTGCCTCCTCCCACCCTCAACCCTCTGATAGGCCTCAGTGTGTGTTGTTCCCCTCTATGTGTCTTGTTCTTGATCTAAGAGTGAAAAGCATTCAGGCTTTCACCTTCGAGTATGACAGCTGTAGGATTTTTGTAGATGCTCTTCATCAGATTTAGGAGTTCCCTTTTAAGTTTGATGAGAGTTTTTAATGGGAACCATATGACACAAATCTTTGCTCTAGGAATTTGCTCTAGAAAAATGAAAATCTGTGCTCACACAAAAATCTGTACGTAAATGCTTATAGCTGATTCATTTGTAATTTCCAAAACCTGTAAATGTGCCAAATATCTTCCAACAAATGAATGGCTCACCAAATTTGTATATCCATGCTATGGCAGACAGATTCTAAGGTGGCCCCCAACATCCCAATATCCTGGTCATACCTTTCAGTGTAGGTGGGGACTATGGCTTGCTTCTAACCAAGAGAATGTGGCAAAGGTGATGAACTCCCATGATTATGTTAGTTTATACATGACTCCATCTTTCAAGGAGAAACATTCTCCCTTTGTTCCATGAAGAAACAAGCTGCAGTGTAGTGAACTGCCTAGAGACAGGGCAACGTGACAGAGAACTGAGGGCAGCTTTTATAACAAATTAAGAGATTTCTTAATATTTAACTCTCCTTACATTAACTGCTTGTGGTATATTATTCTTTTTAAAAATTTATTTTCTAATTTTTGTGGGTACATGATAGGTATATGTATTTATGGGGTACGTGAAATGCTTTAATATAGGTATACAATGCATAATAATCACATAATGGTAAATGGGGCATCCATCCCCTCAAGCACTTATCCTTTGTGCTACAAACAATCCAATTACACTCTTTCAGTTATTTTTAAATGTACAATTAAATTATTTTGACTGTAGTCATCCTGTTGTGCTATCAAATACTAGGTCCTAATAATCACATCATGGAGAATGGAGTATTCATCCCTCAAGCGTGGTGCATTACTCTTTGAACATGCTGCTCTGAATTATATTTGCTAATATGTGGGGCTTCTCTATTAATGTTGCAAAGTAGGGAGCCAATAATCTGGTTGAGAGACGCAAGAAGGAGCAGGAAAATGTGTTCACAGAACCTCATACTAGTGGCGTCCAGGGCCAAGGCTCCCTGAATGCATACCCAAGGGCTGATGAGAGGTGGGGACCAGTGCAGCGGGAAAACTCCTCAACTACCAGAACTAGGTAGGGCCCCTAACATACCCTTGGAGCGAGCTCCTCGCGCCCCGTACACCACCAGGTCTCCCTGGTTCCTCCCCTGCTCCCCGTCCCGCCACCTTAGGAACCCTCAGCCCAGCCTCTCCGATACGACCCTGCCTCCTTGAGGGCTTTAGGCCCTTCTTCGCAAGTGTGTGCCCCACGACGCGCCTGCGTACTAGGGAACACCCGGCCTTGTGGGCGGAGTCCATGAGAGGGCTGGAGCCCCGCTCGTGGCCCCGCCCACCCTAGCTTGGGCAGGCCTTCGTGGACACGCATTTCCGGCGACGCCTGGGTACTGACCTCTGCAGAGCCGGGTGGAGCCCATTGACGTCCAGCGAAGCGAAGAGCAGCGATGGACGGTCGGGTGCAGCTGATAAAGGCCCTCCTGGCCTTGCCGATCCGACCTGCGACGCGTCGCTGGAGGAACCCGATTCCCTTTCCCGAGACGTTTGATGGCGATACCGACCGGCTCCCGGAGTTCATCGTGCAGACGGGCTCCTACATGTTCGTGGACGAGAACACATTCTCCAGCGACGCCCTGAAGGTGACGTTCCTCATCACCCGCCTCACGGGGCCCGCCCTGCAGTGGGTGATCCCCTACATCAAGAAGGAGAGCCCCCTCCTCAATGATTACCGGGGCTTCCTGGCCGAGATGAAGCGGGTCTTTGGATGGGAGGAGGACGAGGACTTCTAGGCCGGGAGACCCTTGAGCCTGGGGGCGGGTGCTCTGGGGAGGGCCCGCTGTGCTACTGGCCGCCGCCAGGGTCGCCACAGGCGCCCTCCCTCCGCACCTCCCTCCCCCTCGAGCCGCCGCGATGTCCCCTGCGCTCCTGTCCCCTCCCGCGTAGTGCTTGCCTTTGTTC